GTATAAATACCACATTTTCTTTTTTTTTTTTTTTCATTTTTCTTTTATTATTCATATGTGCATACAAGGCTTGGTTCATTTCTCCCCCCTGCCCCCACCCCCTCCCTTACCACCCACTAAATACCACATTTTCTTAATCCATTTGTCAGTAGTAGGACATCTTGGCTGTTTCCATAACTTGGCTATTCTGAATAGTGTTGCGATAAACATGGGTGTGCAGGTGCCTTTGGAGTAACTTGTGTTGAATTCCTTTGGGAATATCCCCAGGAGTGGGATTGCTAGATCATATGGCAGGTCTATGTTTTAGATTTTTAAGAATCCTCCAAATTTTTTCCAGAGTAGTTACACTAGCTTGTATCCCACCAGCAATGAATGAGAGTTTCTTTTTCTCCACATCCTTGCCAACAACTGTTGGTGGTGTTTTTGATGATGGCTATTCTAACAGGGGTGAAATGACATCTTAGTGTGGTTTTGATTTGCATTTCCTTTATGGCCAGAGATGGTGAACATTTTTTCATGTGTTTTTTTAGCTATTTGAATTTCTTCTTTTGAGAAATTCTGTTCAGTTTAGTTGCCTATTTCTTTATTGGTTCATTGCTTTTGGGAATGTTTAGTTTTTTGAACTCCCTGTATATTCTGGTTATCAGTCCTTTGTCTGATGTGTAGCTGGCAAATATTGTCTCCCACTCTGTGAGTGGTCTCTTCAGTTTAGAGACCATTTCTTTTGTTGTGCAGAAGCTTTTAATTTTATGAAGTCCCATTTGTTCATCCTTTCTCTTAGTTGCTGAGCTGCTGGGGTTCTATTGAGGAAGTCCTTGCCTATACCTATTGCTTCCAGAATATTCCCTTCTCTCTCCTGTACTAACTTCAGAGTTTCGGGTCTGATATTAAGGTCCTTGATCCATCTTTAGTTGATACTAGTACAGGGTGATAAACGTGTCTAGTTTCAGCTTTTTGCAGGCAGATAACCACTTTTCCCAGCAACATTTGTTGAAAAGGCTGTCTTTTCACCATTGTATGTTTTTGGCACCTTTGTGAAAAAATAAGGTGGGCACACCTGTGTGGATTCATATCTGGGTCCTCTATTCTGTTCCACTGGTCTTCATGTCTGTTTTTGTGCCAGTGCCATGCTATTTTTATTGCTATTGCTTTGTAATATAGTTTGAAATCAGGTATTGTGATACCTTCAGCATTGCTCTTTTTGCTGAGTATTGCCTTGACTATTTGCAGGGTCTTGTGTTACCAAATAAACTTTAGGGTAGATTTTTCAATCTCTGTGATGAGTGTCACTGGATTTTGATGGGAATTGTATTGATCATGTAGATTGCTTTTGGTAGTATAGCCATTTTTACTATGTTGATTCTACCAGTCCATGAGCATGGGATATCTCTTCACTTTCTGTGTAGTCTTCCTTGATCTCTTTCTTCAAAGGTTTGTAGTTTTTATGGAGGTCATTCACATCCTTTGTTAAGCTTACTCCTAGGTATTTGATAGATTTTTTTTTTTTTGAGGTTTTTGTAAATGGATTTGTTTCCATATATTCTTTCTCAGTTTGTTTGTTTTTGGTGTGTAGAAAAGCTAATGATTTTTGTAAGTTGATTTTGTATCCTGCCACGTTGCTGTAGCTGTTTGCTGTAGGAGTTTTTGGGTAGAGTTTTTTGGGTCTTTAAGATCTAGAATCATGTCATCTGCAGATAGGTTTGTTTTGACAGTTTCTGTACCTGTTTGTATTCCTTTATTTCTTCTTCTTGCCTAATTGCTCTGGCTAGGAATTCCAGTACTATGTTGAATAGGAGTGGAGATAGTGGGCATCCTTGTCTAGTTCCTGATTTTAGAGGGAATGGTTTCAGTTTTTCTCCATTAAGAATAATGCTGGCTGTAGGTTTGTCATATATAGCTTTTATAATGTTGAGGTACTTTCCTTCTATTCTTAGTTTTCTTAGAGCTTTTATCATGAAATGGTGTTGGATCTTATCAAACGCTTTTTCTGCATCTATTGAGATGATCAAGTAGTTTTTGTCTTTGCTTCTATTGATGTGCTGTTTAACACTTATAAATTTGCGTATATTGAACCACCCTGAATTCCTGGGATGAAGCCAACTTGGTCACGGTGAATGATCTTTCTTTTATGTTGTTGGATTCGGTTTCCCATTATTTTACTGAGGATTTTCTCATGGATGTTCGTTTAGGAGATTGGCCTATAGCTCTCCTTTTGAAGGTGTCTTTGCCTGGTTTTGGGATGATTGTAATACTGGCTTCATAAAATGAGTTAGGCAGTGTGCCTTCCTTTTCTATTTCATGGAAAAGTTTAAGGAGACTTGGTATTAGTTCTTGTTTAATGGTCTGATAGAATTCAGCAGAGAATCCTTTAGGTCCTGGACTTTTCTTTTTTGGGAGACTCTTTATTGCTGCTTCAATTTCATTTTGTGTTATAGATCAGGTGATTAATACCCTCTTGGTTCAGTTTTGGATGGTCATAAGTATGTAGAAATTTGTCCATTTCTTCAAGATTTTCAAATTTATTAGAATACAGTTTGTCAAAGTAGTCTCTGATGATTTCCTGGATTTTGTGGTATTTGTTGTTATCTGCTCTTTTGCATTTCTGATTTTACTGATTTGGGTTTTTTTTTCCTCCTCATTTTAGTCAGGTTTGCCAGGGGTCTGTCAATATTGTTTATATATTCAAAGAACTAGCTTTTTGTTTCTGTGATTCTTTGTATTTTTTGTTGTTGTTGTTGTGGTTATTGTTGTTTCTATTTCAACAATAAAAATAAGAAATATTTTCTGTCCTGTTTGTTTTGGGACTTGTTTATTCTTGTTTTTCTAGGCGTTTGAGATGTAGCATTAGGTCATTGATTTGAGATCTTCCTGTCCTTTTAATATATGCACTCATGGCTATAAACTTTCCTCTCAGGACTGCCTTTGCTGTGTCCCATAGGTTCTGGTAGGTCATGTTTTCATTTTCATTAACTTCCAGGAACCTTTTAATTTCCTCTTTTATTTCATCAATGACCCACTGATCATTGAGCAATGTGTTGTTCAGCTTCCAATTGTTTGCATATTTTCTGCTGTTATTTTTGTTGTTGGGTTCTAGTTTAATGCGTTGTGATCAGATAGAATGCACAGAATTATTTTTATTTTCTTATATTTACTGAGGCTTGCTTTGTGCCCAAAGATATGATCAATTTTGGATCATATCCAAGAAGGTTCCATGGGCTGCTGAGAAGAATGTATATTGTGTGGAAGTTGGATGAAATATTCTGTAGACATCAGCAGGTCTGTTTGATCTACTGTGTGAGACATCAGCAGGTCTGTTTGATCTACTGTGTGATTTAGTTCTAGAGTTTCTTTATTGATTTTTTGTTTGGATGACCTATCTGTTGGTGATAGGGGATATTAATGTTTCACACTATCACTCTGTTGGAGTCTGTATATGATTTTAGGTCCTTTAGAGTATGGTCGATGAAATTGGGTGCACTGATGTAGATTGAAGTGGGCAGAGAAAACATATGACTCTTGGACACCCAAACCCTAGGCAGGAAAGAAGCTGGTAATATTATTCAGCTGCCAATGTCTGATGAATAAAAGTAAAGGAGATTCAGAGGGTGAAGTCACAGGGAACAAAGAACTATTCTAAGGTCTTGAAACATAATGGAATTTTTGTCAAGCTGGATTTTAATATTTCTTTAAAGTAGTAACCAATTTTACCTTCTATTTAACTGTGACAGAATGTCCTCAACTATCCTAAAACTTGCTTCTTGAGGCTATGTATCAATAGATAAAAAGAAACTGTGTCCCAGAAGTTGTACTTAATACCCACAAAATCATAAGCACATGATTTAAGATGCTATTTGAGACTTCTGCACTGCTGAATTTCAGATGAGATTTCTGGACTTGGAACATTGGGAAAGGGAGACTATAGTCTACTTTTGAGAGGGCCACAAATGTTTGAGGACCAGAATGAAGACATAATGATTCCCCCAAAATGACCATACTCCAAATCATTAAAATACAGCAAAACAAATTCTGCAAATGTAATTAAGAGTATGAACTTAAGCATAAGGTTGGGAAATTATGCTGAATTACTTAAGTGGGGATAATCATGAGTTCTTAGGAGTATTTTTCTGACGTGAGTAAGATCTGTTTTGGCAGTACTGATGAGTCAAGTCAGTGCCTACATAGTGCTTGTGGGCATGTACTCAATCATTTGACTCATTACCTTAATAAAAAAAGATCTGATGGAAAGGAAGGTGAGGAGGATTCAGAGCATGAGGGAAACTGCACAACTCACTGTTACAAAGGATGAGAAACAAAGTGGGCAACAAAACAAGCAACAAAATCCTACTTTATGGGGGAGAACTGGAAATGAAGAATGGTAGAGCGGGTGAATTCAAGTATGATATATTTGGTATATTGTAAGAACCTTTGTAAATGGCACAATGTATCTGCACCGAGGACAACAATAAAAAAATGTTTAAAAAAAATCCTGGCTGATAAACTGAAGGGAAACAAGAACTTAAATCTCATAACCATAAAGAATTAAATTTAGGGAAAAGTATGAATATTGTTAGAAGTGTTTTCTTTCCTTTTCCCTGAAGATTTATAGGAAGTTAACACAGAAATCTTCATTTTGACCCTGTGAAACTCCACAGAGAATCTACCTGAGCCGTAGTATTTGTCCTTCTGATTTATAGAATTCTGAGATAAATTTACCTTTTAGGTCACTGGATTGTAGAAATACACAACTGGGGCAAAATTTTAAAAAGTGAAACAAAAGAAAACTAATAAAATTACAAAATATTTTTCAGAGTGAGAACAGGACATTAATGTATGACTGGGAAAATAAGAAACAAGTTAACAGTAAGAGTTTAAAAGCTGACAGTGTAACAGGAGTGAGTTGGCTATGAGATTTTTGGCAAGGAATCTAAGTATGAATAAATACCAGATCTGATAATTCATCCTTTGGATAAACAACTCCAACTCTGGTAGGTCAGAAGTAGAACAACCAAAGAAACAGTTATACCTATTCCATCAAAAAACGTGTTTGGTTCTTGTGGTTGTAATTCAAATTCATCTTCTTCCATGGCCTTTAATGTTCATTAATCACAGCTCCTAAACCAGGAAATAAAGTATACCAAACATTCATTTTTTAATATCACATTTTAAAGTGTGTTTACTAACATTTCAGAAATGCCAAATTATTTATCAAAAACCTGTCAATGAGAAATAAGGAACTGACTCTAGTAATATATGGGCAAGTACCACCAAAAATGGTCAGCTAAATGAAAGAAGGTAACCATGCTTTGGTTTTATTTGTTTTATTTTTCTGAGAGTAAATGCTTTAGGTTTTCTTTTCTTTTCCTTTTTTTTGGTGGGATTGGGGTCTGGTCTGAACTCTGGACTTCACAATTACAACAGCTGAGCCACACCTCTACTCCATTTTGTCCTGGTGATTTTAGACATGCGGTCTCAGGAAGTATTTGCCAGGACTGGCCTCAAACCTTGATCTTTCTGATCTCAGCCTTCCCAAGTACTTAAGAGTTACAGACATGAATCACTGGAACCCAATAAACAGAGGGTCTTCCCTTTCTTCCTTCTTTCTTTCCTCTCTCAATCCCTCTTTTCTTCCTTTCTCCATCCCTACTTCCTTCCTCTCTATCCCTTTTTTTTTTTTTTAAATTTTCACTATGCTAGGGCTTAAACATTTCATACACCAAGGTTATTGCCACTTCTTATCAATAGCCCCATAATTATTTAGAACCAACTAAAACCTGTTTTCAAGATTATTAAGGGAATTTCTGCAAAACTTCATTACATCTATGTATTTAAAACAGTCCACAATCTTGATATCTCTTAATTACAAGATGGTAAAAAAACCAAAATTCCTTAAAAAAATCACTAAGAAGACACTGTTTAAAAATTTTTATATTATCACTGACCTCTCTTAACTGATCTTCCGATTACAAACAATATCTATGTACAAGTGAATGTGTGTGTGTATTTTTTTCATTCACTGTTCGGGTCATAACTGAACTGATAACAGCAATAAACTAGTAAATAAACATTTATATTTGACAATAAAACAGTAATAAAAATCTTATTTTTATTAACACATCTGGAACCATCAGAGTCACTTTCTTTCCTAGTGTCTAAAACTACAACGAACAGGTTATTCTCCAAACACGATTTAGAAAATTTAGTCAGTTTACCAACAAAAATATTAAAAGCTGGGAAATGCTGGCTTACAACTGTAATCCTACCTACTTGGGAAGCTGAGATCAGAAGGATCATAGTTCCAGGCCAGCCCAGGCAAACAGTTCAAAAGACCTCATTTCCATAACAGCCAGAGTAAATGGACTAGAGGCAAGGCTCAATCAATAGAGCACCAAAATATAAGTAAGAAGTTTGGATTTAAAATCCTGTAGGGTTTGCACATAATATTCTAGAAATACTCTCTTTCTCCTCTGAATTCCCAACTACTTTTATCCTTCTTGCCTTATTTTATTTTTAAACATATGTTCTGATAAAGTCCTTAAGGAAACATGTAAGTGATAAACTCAACTGTAACTTAAAAATAATAAAGGATTTTCAGCATGTCAATACTGTGGCAAATTCTGTTCATTTGCAAGAAACAGTACGTTTTTAAAAAATAAAAGAAATACTGTTTTATGACATTCAAACTGTATCACATAACAAGGGCATTAATATTTTGCCAGCCACAAAAAAAGGGAAGGATATACGCTCTAGTAAGTTCTCACTCTTCCCTCAATTCAAAACTACCTGTGGTATGTAAATACATTCCCTCTTTAAAAATGTAGTTCTAAAAGGATAAACTCAAATTAATCTCAGCATATTAAAAAATACATATTTATATCAACTGATGTGATTGAGTTGTTATTCCAATTTCTCTGCAAAATACAATCTCATTTGAATAAAAATTTAGCCAGAGATACTATTATCTGTAATAATAGCATTAAGGAGATTGGAGAGTTTCAAGTCAGCTTGGCCTGCACAGCAAATTTAAAGCCAAGGCCCAATCTAGATACATAGTAAGACTGTATCTCAAAAACAAAACAGTAGAGAAAGAGAGAAGCAGGGGTCGGGTGGCAATATGTAAAGGAAAGAAAAAAAATTCAATGTGTGGAATAACTTTCCTGTTTTAGGTATTCATCCTCAGGCTTATCAGTTCCTTCAACTCTGAAACTCTTTCCACTTCTTGGAAGTGATATTCTAGTTCTGTTTCCCTGATTCTGATGGCTACTATAACTTTGCCCTCTTTTTTCTACTTTCTTGTTTATTCTCATGTTTTTAACTACCAGGTTTATGACAATGATCCTAAAATCACATTCAGGGAAAGTCCTAACATTTTTAACAGACTGCTGAGTTTTTACCTAACTGAAACCTAGCTTTCTCCCACCAGAGTAAATTGGTTTTTTCTTTCTTTCCTGTCATTGGGTTGCCAAATCTTGCTGATTCCTTCCTCATAATTTCTCTTTTACTTTCTTCATCACCACCATTTTCAGCTTCATTATTTCACTATCTCTAACTTCTAAAATTTACTTTCTTTCCTCCATTTTCACAGGTATCGAGTGAGAGCTGGTGCTAGGTAGCAGAAAGGCAGCCCTAGAATCTGTAGGTAGATTAGTTCTCCCAAATGATGCACAGAAAACACATGAAGTTCTCTAAATTCCAGGGGCTCTACAATATTATCCCACAACCATCACTTACTGTTATTATTCAATTTTGCATTGTAAGTTGAGTAATGACTCAAATAAGTCTTAAGTGCTTCCTTCTCACTCTATTTTGACTCTCAACATTCTCACATTTTCTGGAAGGTGAGGTCTCTAAAAAAATGAAGCTTGGGTATTTGCCATTAATAATGCCTGTTTTTCATTAGTATGGCTGACAACTGCACAAGTATTACCTGCAGGAAGATGCTGCTGGTATCAGCGTCTTAAGATGTGGCAAAAGCAGCTTGTTCATGTATCTAAAAGTACGTCATTACAGATAACTAAATTAGAACTTTATTCTAAATTGTGCAATAAAAAGGACAAAGCTAAAGCAAATAAAAAACCACTAACAGCTACAAGTTTTAGGATTCTATTCAGTAAAGATAGCAACTTAAAACAAGGGTCAGCTATGTCATATCATGTCCATTTCTTAATGTATATTCCAAAGTGAGTCTGCCCACCTCTCCTTTTTGTTCTTCTTTACTAATATGATCAATTAGTGAGCTGAATAGTACATGTGACTGCTTATTTTCCTATTTCATCATCATAAAAATTGATCTAGGATCTAGGGTAGTAGCAGAGTACATAATTTGCTCTGGGCCTGAATTTGTCACCAGCATAGGGGGTGGGACTTACAACAGGCAAAAAAAAGTGAAGGTTCTATACTCCAGAACAATTTATATTACTGTTTATCTATATATGTACATATATTTTTAAACTAACCTTTCTTGAGCTAAAACTGCCCCAATCAGAAAGAAACCATGCATTTAAGTGAAACAGGCTCCAAAAACGTACCAATAATTGTAATAAAAGTGAAAGAACATGCTCTGATGATTTAAATGAAACTGCTACACCTCTGCAGCAGAAATCAAGTAGAGAGATCAGCTAAATCTGAAGAGAAATAAATAGAATAATCCAAAGAGTCTGAAATCTAAAAAACAACGTGGTTCACACTAGTTAACAATTGCTCTGGAAATCTTTTTTTTTCCCCCCTCGGTGTTTTAATTTTGCACTTAAAATCAGTTTAAAACTCACTCCTCCAGTTCTAAGTTCCATGACACAGACAATAAAAATTAAGAGGATGAGATACCTGTCAAGAATTCACTTTTGCAAATTCCAGCTGCAGTTTTAAGAAAAGAAAAATCTAGGATTCTATTTCAGACTCAAGTATAGTTGGTCATTTCTGTAATCTGGTCTTAAGTCAATGCAGGATTGAGTATAGCGACATCAAAACTTATTTATACAAGTTCAAAATGTGAGATAGAAAATTGGTTCATTTTTCTCAACATCTTTTTATGCACTGCTGAACTAAGCCTACCACATAGCTTTTGTTTTTCTTGTTCATGTATCTGTAAGAAATGTGAAAGAAGTCAAATAAATAACAGTATTTTGCATATGTAAAAATTTCATAGATACCACTAAGATGTTCTCTACAAAAGGGACCTGGAAATTGATGCATCTTTACCAGTAATGAGAGAGTGCCTCTTTTCTCCAAATCTTGGTTAACCCTGGAAATTAGCAATTTCTCCAAATCTTGGTTAACCCTGGAAATTAGCAATGCATCAATTTTACTAAAAAAAAAAAAAAAAAAAAAACTTATTCTGAACTAATTTTCCAAAATTGACCTTTATGCATTTTGCAAATCTCTGAGTTTATTTTTTTATTTTTTTTAATTGTTTTATTATTCATATGTACATACAATGCTTGGGTTATTTCTCCCCCCTGCCCCCACCCCCTCCCTTACCACCCACTCCACCCCCTCCCTCTCTCCCCCACCCCCTCAATACCCAGCAGAAACTATTTTGCCCTTATCTCTAATTTTGTTGAAGAGAGCATATAAGCAATAATAGGAAGGAACAACAAGTGTTTTTGCTGGTTGAGATAAGGATACAGGAAGTTGACTCACATTAATTTCCTGTGCATGTGTGTTACCTTCTAGGTTAATTCTTTTTGATCTAACCTTTTTTCTAGTTCCTGGTCCCCTTTTCCTATTGGCCTCAGTTGCTTTTAAGGTATTTGCTTTAGTTTCTCTGCGTTAAGGGCAACAAATGCTAGATAATTTTTTAGGTGTCTTACCTATCCTCACCCCTCCTTTGTGTGCTCTCGCTTTTATCATGTGCTCAAAGTCCAGTCCCATTGTTGTGTTTGCCCTTAATCTAATGTCCGCATATGAGGGAGAACATACGATTTTTGGTCTTTTGGGCCAGGCTAACCTCACTCAGAATGGTAAATCTCTGAGTTTTATGTTAATTTTTTCTTCAGTTTTTTGAGGGGGCACTAATAGGGTTTGAACTTGGTAGGCACTGCTCTGCCACTTGAGTTACTTCTCCAGCCTTTTCTTTTGTTGTTTTTCAAATAGGGTCTTGTTTTTGCCCAGGACAGCCTCAAACCATGATTCTCTATCTAAGCACCATAGCGGCTGGGTTTCAGACATGTTACTGAAATGGGGACTTGCTAACTTTTAGTCAGGGGCTGGCCTTGAACCTCGATTAGATCATCATCTCCAGACCTCATGTATTACAAGTAACTGATATTACAGACCTAAACCACCTTTCAGTGTTTTGAGATGACTTAAAACTTAACAATCTTCCTGCTTCAGTGGTAGAATTACAGGTATATCTTCCTGCTTCAGTGGTAGAATTACAGGTATTTATCATCATATGTAGATACCTTACTGATTTTAAAGAATTATTGTTATATGTTATTGACCTCTTGTCAACCATATACACATTTAAATTTCTTTTTAATGAGCTCCCACAGGATGTGTATGGAACATCTTAACAATATTAATTTCCTCACACAACAGTCACTCTTTTATTTAGGTTCTCTTAAATTTCTATAAGCATAGTAAACATGCATTAGATTTCGAAGTATGGTGTTTATTAATTTCTTTAACAAAATCAGAATTAGTCCAATGTTAGGTCTTTTACCTTGTATCCATGTCTATTTTCAGCTATTCTTTCATCAAAAAAATTGGTATCGATAATTTGATAGTTGTTAATAAGCCCTGTGGATAAATTATCATTTAATTTTCCTCTTAATTAACTGTAGATATAATGCAATCTCATTTCAATTTTTAAAAAAGTGAAACTTAACAGGCTCAAGGATACACAGCCAGTAGTGCATAGACAGAAAAACCTTTGTTTTTTTTTATTTAGTTTGGCAAAACAATCAAGTCTTTACTCTGTCCCGAAAACTGTGTATCATCATGTGGGGATTTAATGAAGTATATTTCTTAAATACTTTTCAATTATATTACTTTTTAATCTATATCTTTTACTCTAATTTTAATTATAGCATAATACCTTAATAGCTTTTTTACCTTATCTGTATGTCTAAACCTCAAATAGTCTAAACAAAGGTTGTAAAAGAAAGCAAAAATTCTATCAGTAAACATATTTAGCACACCAGTACTTTCTAAAGTAACATGTACTCACCAGGGAATTAAAAGCTCATCCTGTTTGAAAATACTGAACATTCCTCCCTCAAACTGTAACTGGTTCCTTACAACACATTGTTTATGCTAGTCTAACTGATAAAAAAGATAAAGAAAATACAATGTAATTACATTATAAGGTGAAACATAAATGTGATGAGGTGGTTTACACCAGAAGGATGGAGGTTTGAGACCTCCTTAGGCAAAAAGTTTGCAAGATCCCATTTCATCCCAAAATACTCTGGGTGTAGTGGTGCACACTAGCCAGGAAGCACAAGCAGGAGGACTGTGATCCCAACCAGCTTGAACATAAAGATCCTATTTTTAAAATAACAAAACTAAACAGGACTGGAGGCATGGCTCAAAGTGTCCCCACTTTCCAAGTCCAGGCTTGAATTCAACTCCCCGTGTTGCCTAAAACAGTGAGGTGGGTAAGACTTAAAAAAGAAATGCATGACCACAGCCATAACCACTGACTTACACACAGATTTCTCTGGCCCACCAATTACAACTAGAGAAAGATTCATAACAATAATAAAAGGAGAGCTTTTTTCCCAAAACAGAAGTAGGTGAACATCAAGATCAGAAAAACCTCAGTTAGGCCTGTAAAGCAGGCCTGTAATCTCAGGTACTTTGGAGGCAGAAACACCAAGAGTTAGAAGCCAACCCTGGCAAAGTTAAGACGTTATCGCAAAACAATACAAAGAAGAAGAATATCAAGTGGTGTAACACATGCCTAGCAAGCTTGAATCCCTGGGTTCAATTCCAGTACCACAAAAAACCAAAAGAAACACGACAAAAGATCTTAGAAAATTGTCAAATTTCTTGAATAAATAACTGCACAATGTAGCTCAAATATGTGAAATTACTTACTGTTCTGTGCTATCATAATTCTTGTCAGAAAAACTATGCCAAATATAACTTCTCACTTGCATTTTTTTATTGGGTGGGGGGGTGGAGTTTCAGAGAAGTAGTATACTGTTACGATTATAGCTAAATTTCATTTTTAAAAGACGAACACATTTGTAGGGTGTAGTGCACCTACATATATGGGAAGACTGTAGTTCCATGCCAGCCAGTGTGAAAAGAATGCACTGCAACAAGTAAGTTGAGCATGGTGTGCCCACTGTTAAGTCCAGCTATTTACAAGACACAGGCAGGAGAATCTGAGACAGATCCTGGGCTGAAGAAAGAAAACCTTCTATGAAAAATAACTAAAGCAAAAAAGGGCCAGGGGCATAGCTCAAGTGGTAGAGGATCTGCCTAGCAAGAACAAGCCCAGGTACCCCAGAACCAACACACCAAAATAAAAAATAAAAAAAAAAAAGAGAAACACACACATGCACGTAATTTCCTAATTTTCATCTTCAAAAATCTCATAATTCTATTTCATTTACAGAAATAAAATCTCAAGATATTTTTTGCTGGTGCTTATCACAGATTGTGTTCATACACTGAATACATAGAGAAAGGAGGCAAAGTAAACCCACCCCATACACACTTCAGCCAAGGGCCTGAGCCTGGGCTATATTGTGAATGGGGACCCAAGGGTGGGGGAAAAAAGGTATTTTGTCACTATGTCACTACATACTGTAATATTTTAAACTGGCTTCCATTATCTAGATGACTTTCACATAGAAATCCTCAGAAAACACTTAAGTAACAAGTCAGTGTTTTAACATTGTTCTTCATTTTTCCAGTAAGTAATTTAATAAAACTTGAGTCATTTTTTTACTTCATCTATCTTTCTACTCATCTAATTTTATAATAGCACAGTGAAATTTATATCTTTGTTTTCTGACCATCTAACTTTAAATAGATGCTTTAAAAGAAATAACAAATGTTTACTGATATGTGCCCACTGTTGGCACACCCAACATTTAATGAACGTTGCTACACTTCAAACCACAAACAGGCCACAAAACACCGATGGGAACCGGTAATAACCCACTATCATCAATAGATAGGTTCTTCAGACAAAAAGTCAACAAAGAAATTTCACAATTAAAATGACACCATAGAAGGAATGGGGTTATCCACAGAATATTTCATACAGTAGCAGCACACTAAACATTTCTCTCAGTAGCCACTGGAGTGTTCTCCAAGACAGGTATTCAGGGGGACAAACCAAGTCTTAACAATATAAGAAAAATAAAATTACTTTCTGTATCCTGTCAGACGATAATGAAACAAAATTAAGAGTCAACAGAAGAAACTGCAGAAAATAACCAAACACATTAAGACTTAACAACACGTTGTTGAATGATCAGTGGTCCCATTGAAGAAATAAGGTTAGAATCAAAAAGTTCCTGGAATCTAACAGAAATGAAAAATAACCTACCAGAACCTCTGTGATACAGCAGAGGCAGAGCTAAGGCAAAAGTTTATAGCTGTGAATGCCTACATTAAAACACAGAAAGACCTCAAATAAATGACCTTCTGATGCAATTTAAGTTCCCAGAAAAGCAAGAACAGGCTAAACCCAAAGTTAGCTGAAGTAAAGGAATAATAAAAATAAGGGCCAACATCAGGAAAAGAGAGCCTCCCCCAACTATACAAAGACTCAACAAAAAAAAAGTTGGTTCTTCAAAAAGATAAATAAGACTTACAGACTCTTAGCCAATCTGACAAGGAGGAGGGAAAAGAGGATCTTTAGGGACTACTTTGAAAACATATACTTAAAACTGAAAAGTCTAGAAGAAACTGGTAAATTTGTAGATGCACATGACAAACCAAAATTGAACTAAGAATATATAAATCACATAGGCAGAACTGTAGAAAAGAATGAAATTGAAGCACCAAAAGAAAAACCCAGGACAATGCATTCACTGCTAATTTCCACAAAATCTTTAAAGAAGTAACATCAAAGTTCATCAAACTTTTCTATGAAATAATAAGGGGAATGAATATTACCATACTCATTCTATGAAGCTAGTATTATATTCACACCAAAATCGGACAAGGGTGCAACAAAAAAAAAAAAAAGGAGGATTACAGGTCAATCTCGTTAGTAAACGTAGGTGGAAAATTTCTCAGTAAGATACTAGCAAACTGAATTCAACAACGCACCAAAAAGATCATACTCAATGATCAAGTCAGTTCCCCACAGGGATACAATACTGGTTCAACATATCCAAATCAATGTAAGTAGCAAGGACAAAAACCACACAATAATCTCAAAAGCTGCAGAAAAAAACCTGACAAAATTTAACATCATTTTACGATAAAAGCTCCAAAGAAAATAGGAATAAAAGGAATATACCTCAACATAATAAAGGCCAACCTATAGTCAATATTTATTATACTAAACAGAGAAAAACTGAAACCTATTTCTTTCAAAGTGAGGAATGAGTCAAGTGTGTCCACTCTTCCCATTCTTATTCAACCTAGTTTTGGAATTCCTAGACAGAGTAGTAAGACAGGAAGAAATAAAAGAAATTCAAATAGAAAAGGAAGAAATCAAATTATCCCTATTCACAGATGACATAATCTTATACTTAAAAAAAAAGAAATCCAACAAAAACTCTTAGGCATCATAAATATTTTCAGTAAAACAGAAGGACACAATTAGATCTAAAAAAACAAAAAAACAAAAAAACTAGCTTTTCTGTATACCAACAATGAACAAACTGCAAAAGAATTATGGAAAACAATCCCATTTACAATAGCATTTGGCAGGGGGAGAGGGGGGGGAGAGGGCAAGACTTAGGAATAAATTTAACAAAGGATATGAAAGACTTCTATAATGAAAACTATAAATCACTAAAGAAAAACTGACGAACATATTAAAAAATGGAAAGATCATCCATGATCATGAATCAGTATAATGGAAATGGCTATACCACCAAAAGCAATCTACATGTTTAATGCAATCCTCATCAAAAACTGATCGAAAAATCTATCTTAAAGTTCATAAAGGAGCACAAAAAACATCGAATAGCCAAGGCAACAATGAGCAACAAGAGTAATGCTGGAGGTATTGTATCTGACTTCAGGCTATATTACAGAGCCATAGCAATAAAACAGCATGGTACTGGAACAAAAATAAGACAAGACCAATGAATGGAACACAGGACCCACAGACACACAGCTACAGCCATCTGATTTTTGACAGAGGGCTCCAAAACATATGATGGAGAAAAAGATAGTCTTTTTCAACAAATAGTGCTGGGAAAACTCTTTATCTGCACATAGAACAATGAAACTTGCCAAGTGAAGGTGGCTCACGCCTATAATCCTATCTATTCAGGAGGCAGAGATCAGGTAGATTGGGGTTTGAAGTCAGCTCTGAGCAAACAGTTCTCTGGATCCCATCTTGAAACTACCCAACATGAAAAAGAGCTGGTAGAGTGGTTCAAGTGGTAGAACATCTGCCTAGCAAGTATCAAGCCCTAAGTTCAAGCTCCAGGGCTCCCAAAGAAAATAAACAATAAACCCCACTGAAATTAGGTTTTTGTCCTTCACCCTGTACTAATATCAATTCAAACTGATTCAAATTTTAGTGTAAGGCAGGAATCTTTGAACATACTGGAAGAAATGGGGAAAATTCTGGAACATATAGGCATACTCAA